GCAATCCTACTTTTTGCTTTGCTCCTTCCACTCAAGATCTTCCTTCATACATGCTGAGGCACACAAGGTTCCTACAATTAACTCCACATTCTGTCTCTGAATTTTAAAAGGCCATATATTTACTGCACACCTACACTGTATACGATTAGATCTTAACAAGATAATTCCTCATTGGACTCTGCGTAAGCTAACAAGAATGTGGATATATGTGAGTTGGGAAATATAGTTTCCTTAGGGCTACATCCTGCCAGCTTCAAATGCAAGATCCTATTTATACAGGACTGCAATTCCTGGCAGAAAGTTGAACGGTATTTTCTGCAACCATTGGGCTCTTTTGTAAGACAAAGCACTCAAGGCCTTTGCACCACAGTGAAAATGATAACCTAAAGAGAACATCATAGCCCTGTGTCAAAGACACAATCAGATTAAAATAAACAGGAGAAGAATTCACCTCCTTCACTTCAGCACACAAGTAATGTAATGCAGGAGCTCTGTTTTCACCTGAATTTCACTGTGATGTTCAACAACACAATATATTGTGTGTATCTTTGGGAATGCTTCCTAGGAATGGACAAAAAAACACAGCAGTTTCAGCTTCCAAGCTGTCCTCTGGCAAGCAGGCTCCATTCTGCAGTGCACTGAGCACTGGGCACTTCAAGGCCCATCTTTCTGGCAAATATTCTATCCTGGACTAAGGAACCTTAAAACAGCACGTCCCAAACACTGACATTCTCTTGTAATGTCTCTGTTTCTGCTCTGTGTTGTTGAAAATTCTCAAAAGGTTTTTCTTATCACGTACGATTTGCAGAAATGAGTGCATCCTTAGCTCTACAAAATACTCATCTCTTCATCCTGCTGATGTTCACCAAGGTCTCCTTCACACTAAGATGAAGTTCTGCTTAACATCTTTTAATTTTCTTAATAATACACAAAGAGAAACGTTTGCAAAAGTGAAGCAAGTCCTTTTGCATATAGCAGATTCAGGAAGGTGGGTTATTCAGTGTGACTGCTGGCAGATAATGCACTCCCCAGAGAGCTCACAAAGCACAGTGGCTGGTACAGGCTATTTTCAACAGGACCTTGTTGTTTTACTGCCTCTGTTAGCTCCCTCTGCACATCTGTAAGTGATGGGGAGGTTGGGGGAACACTTCAAAAGATGACAGAGGTAAAAATAAAGGAGGCACATTTCAGCTTATGAGATCAGTCAGAATTGCTTGTCAGAGATCTGCCTGGCCTGCTCAGGCTTTTGGCAGCCACGTGTTAGCATAGTATGGAGAGACTTGAGTAACAGACCCTGACCTTTATGGCTCTGTGCCTGCAGGGCTTTTCTTTCGGCTCGTCACAATTTTTATAATGCTCATTTTTGTGTTTATTTTCGATGTTTTTTCCTGTTGCGAAGAAATAAGTTCTGTCAAATTATCCACCAAAATGCCACCAAGTCAGATTGTGTTGTATTGCCTAATAGAAGGTGACTGGTGCAACCAAACAGAACATTTTTATGCAAGGTTAGATTTTAAAAAAAAAAAAAAGGCTAAGAAAAGGAAAATTACTTCTTTGTTGTAAAACATTCACGTTAAGGAAATACCTGAGATTGCACTGACAATAAATTTTTTTGCCTGCCAGGTTAAAGAAGTTTGTTTAAAATAGATTAAATTTTCATCACTCACCCAAAATTCAGTACGGCCACTCAGCCGCTTTGAAAGAAAACTCAGTGCCCACAATTGCAGGAAGAGTGCGGGGCTCCAGGAACTGTTTGCACAGCCATTACTCTGCAGGGTCAAGTCTTCATATTTTTGGCCCAGATACAGTATAAAATGTGTTCAGTGGCAAGATAAGAGATTTCTGGCTTATTCTTGGGCAGCTGCCCCTGCAGTACTTAACTGACCCCTTCTAGGGCTTCCTGCCACTCCTCACCTCACAGAGGCCCTAAGGGGAATGTGCTGCAGGTAGTCTGAATGCCATGGCATATATCTCTGTAAAGACTTGAGAAAGGTCTCCAAATCTCCCGAGCATCAGCCGAGAAAGTGGGGTTAAAGCCACACGGTGAGGAGTCATTTACAGCTCATTGAACAGATGTGCAGAAGTCGTGCAGAGCATAGGAAACCACTCAGGCATAGGACAAGCTGATATCCTCCTGTGCACCTACACAATTCCCCAGCTGACCAGAGGGCCACCGTGACTCCTCAGCAGTCAGCAAAGACTCCTCGGGGTCTGGGTGGCAATTCAGCTCATCTTAAGACCTGTCTCTTTCTCTGTTACCTATAGAGGAATGTGTGCTATGTGATTTTTGCTCAGCTTATTCTTATTCCATAGACCATACCTGAATCATAATGATATGACAGTAGTAATCTAATGCAGAAAGACTCAAACACCCATGGAGATGCGATGCTGTCAGTCAGCTACAAACACACAGGGTTGCAGTTACTGCTAATAGCAACGTGACTCAGTGAGACCTTATTGTGGGTTTACTTAGGTGGAGATCATACCTAGCATGCACTGAGCTCTATCACTTCCCGTGACTGCACAGCCAAGTCATGCAGAAATCCTGCTCTCTGTACAAATGAGGAGATGTTTCCATTCTAACCCAGTCAAGCTTTTCATTACTATTGCTAAGCAGTCATTACACTTGTCCTTATTAAAATTAACACTGCAAAACACTCCTTGTAACAAGCAGAACAGACTAAGAGCCAAACCAGCTGTGGCTGCTGCTGCTCTGAGGGCTCTCCTCTGCACTGCACAGAAGCAGCACTCCATCAGCACTGCCAATGTCAGCCCTCCAAGAGCCACGGGGACTCAGAACGAGGAGGGAGATCCAAGTCATGACTGTGTGTATTTCTTTACAGAGATCTCATTGATTCCTTGGCATTCATCTGACTGAAAGCCATTTGTCCACACCAGAAACATGCAGCTTCAACTCACATGCCTGATGTGTTTTTGATCCGGCATAGTAATATTTTCATTCATTTTGAAGTTTAGGTTTTTAAACATAGAATTTAATAACAGATTTTGGTTTTTGTTTACAAAAGCAGGTTGAAGAGGCTTAGAGGGCTCTCTGCTCACTTAGTGCCTTCCAGCTATAGCACACATCACTTTTGCAAATCAAATACAGTGGGGAAACTTAATAAGTGCCAGAACACGATGCAGTGATGGATCTCTTATGAAATTTCAAGTAGCAGTTTCCTTCTCTGAGCTGTGATTCTAAAGAAAACAGGTTGCTTTTTTTTTTTTTTTTTTTCCTATTTAAATCAAAGGCACTGGTTTACTTTATTGTGGACATTTTGCCTTCTTTACAATCCCATGTAGAACACTGCCTGCATGCTGAACGTGTCATGTACATGATTTTAAAGACAGCAGATGCAATCTGGGTTACCTTAAGAGTTCCAGTTCAGTGTTATCAACTTTCATCTCCTTACAGATTCACTTTCACCACATTCAAACTTGGCCCAAAATGTACCATGTGGTCCCATGTGTTTGCAGGGAAGTGGCTGTCTCTTATAACTGGAACAGGCTGTCTTATTGCTGGAACAGCTGCCCAGAGAGGCTGTGGATGCCCCATCCCTGGAGGTGTTCAAGGCGAGGTTGGATGGGGCCCTGGGCAGCCTGGTCTAGCATTAAATGAGGAGGTTGGTGGCCCTGCATGTGGAGGGGGGTTGGAGATTCATGATCCTTGAGGTCCCTTCCAACCCTGGTCATTCTGTGATTCTATGATAACTGGAGTTATCCAAAAAACCTTCACTTGTAATTTCCACACAATATCAATAAAGATGACTGATGTGACATTTATGTGTGGCAATACCTTCTTTTGTAGCCAGTCATAGCGACAGACTAATATTATTTGTCATACAGCGCTGCTATTCGTCAAATAAATTATGCATCTGTAATAATGTTTTGCATTATTTGTTCAGATCTAGAGCTGTCGGAATAATATCTGTCAACATTTATTCAAGGAAGGTATTAATCAAATAGTAGCTTGATTTCCCTACAAAAATGGAAATTCTGCCACTTTCGGTAGGAAATAAAGGAGCTCAAACATACTTTAATTCAATTTATTATATTATGCATTAGTGATTAAGTACCCTAACAAAAAAATTCCTAAAGAGCTAGTCTCAAAAATATGTAGGAATCTAGAATATGAACTGGAGTGAAATGCGTGCAGCACAGCATGCAATACAAAGTAGCACAACTCAACTGGCAATTCTGCAGAACCTGCAAACATTTCATTCAAAACAACAGCAGAACCAAGGAAGCTGAACTGCCTTACAGATCCTCTGCCCCAACCAACACTGCCATGGCAAGGAGCAGATTTCAAGGACCTACAAGGTCCAGAGAAAATCAGATTTCCTTTTTGTTGTCCAATGTTGTCCATCTCCAAAGCTACAGGAGCACCTCCTGAGCCTGTGTACATGTCTATGCATAAATAGGCCAGAAAACATGGAATCCTCATCTAAATGGAATTGATCTGTTGACAAATATATATGTATAAACCCAGTGAAAATCTGCTCTAAGCTACCTTAGAAAAGACCCAAAAAAGAAAACATCATCTAAGAGAGGTGGCCCTTAACTAAAAGTCTATCAAAAATTGGATGGAAAGCCATGGGGATGAAGAACTTTAACGTGGTTGATAAAAACAAAGTGAGGAGGAAAATCTAAAGGTCTGACAACTGTTCCGTGGTACCATCAGCCTCCAGGAGACTTCAATGAAAAGTCTCAGGGAGACATATAATCAAATTTTTAAAAGATTTCACAAAAAAAAACTTCAAGACGTTTTTTTGAGGCTCAGTTCAGCTTTGTAACCACATGAACTTACAACCACTGTGGAGGGAAGGAAAAAGTAGCAACACCTGGTTATGGTTTCCTGTTCTGTGATTCTCACTGATGTAAGCCCTTTCTGGTAGCAAATATTTGCCCATTTTCTGCCCTGATCCTCCCAGCAGTACCTGAAGTAAGAAATAAGAGCAATGAGTTGTAAGCTGCACCTTAGGCTGCGCTTAGTACGAGTGCTAAAGAGTAAACATGTGGGTATGTAGATAGTGAGGAAAGGGAAGACACTTTCGGACTGGATCTGTGTCCTTTCAACCCCACTGTCACCAACAGCTTCTCCAGTAGACCCCAGTCCCTCTGCACGGCAGTATAACAAACAGTGCAAGAGGACATGCAATTTTATTGCATTTCAGTTGTTATTACTACAGGTGAAACCCAAATGTCTGTCAAGCTAGATGACTCAGTCTTTGCAGGACCTATTACACTGCCCTCCACAGAATTTTCCAAAGCCATTCACGTTGATTTGCAGGGAGGGAACCTAATGCAGGAACGTGGCCTGTGCCCTTTTTCCTCTGTGAGAGCACCAGGAGCAATGAGAAGGCTTTGTTCTCATTTATGCCATCGCCCTGGGCTTTCCTCAGTCTTTCCATCAACATCTCACACTTCTCAGTGAAAAGTAGGATTGTGCAAACAGGACGGGGTTCTCTGCAGCTTTCCCATTCTTCTCAAAGCACACAGGAACTTGCTCAGAACCAAGCATGCCATCACCTGCAGCCTACACATAACACATCTGTTCCTTCCACCAGCTGCCCTTTACCCCAGGGACTCTCCACCACCAGTAAGTGCTATCAGCTTTCCCAGTGAAAGGGGAACTTGCCACCACTTATTTCACCAGGTAGCAGACTTTCATACGTACAAGTATTGCAACAAGCAGAATGCTACAAAGACTATAAATCGTGCAGGAACACTCTGACAAATTCAGTAGTGCTGCAAGCTGATGTATTTTCAGTTCTAGCGTATCAATCTTATCAAATACCAATATGATTATCAAAAACTGCTTTTGCCTACAATGCAGAACACTTTTTTCCTGCTCTCCAGTTATCTTATGGAAATTCTTAGTGCAGAGAATATATAGTATTAATAAATCCCCTCTAACTGCAGCAGAAAGACTGGTTTTCTCCCTCTGTCCCCTTTTCGTATCAGAAAACCCTTGCACATCTCACACGTGCCCAGTCCAAAAACTCATTGTTTTGTACCCACCATCCACAAACACTTTCCGATCCATTAAACCAGCCTAAGCTCGTACCACATCATAACCAATTACATTAAACAATCTACTACAGAGTTCCTACCAACAAAATACAAAGACGTTGCCAGTCTCCAATACTCCACCTCATCCATTATGCACAACAGAGCACTTCCACACCAGCCATCACCGCTTCTGCCTTTACCTGTGAAAAACCATCTTGTGTTCTGGTGTTATCCATGGCTGCGGAGACTCTGTTTGTTTCACCAGCATCCCATTGGGTTACAAACTGTTCATTAACCACACTTGCTTTTCCCCAGCACTGCTCTCCTCTGTTTTCTCTGCCTCTCTCACGAAATCTTGCAGCCCACAGTTTTTATTAAGCCTTACTTCCTTTTGTGCTGAGAACTGAAAGAAACATTACTTCCTTATGGCAGCTCTGTGAAAGGACAAAAAAGTAGAAGTTGTTTGCCTTTCTTGAACTGATATTTACGTTCCAGAGGCTTCCTGAGGTCGCTGAGCCATGAACACCAACATTCTGATCTACTGCTGCACATTGCATCTATCTGAACAACCAACACTTTCCTTACCAAAGCAAATCCACACTCAGTGTAAAAAAGTTTGCCCAAGGAACTGCAAACACAAACCTTGATCTTCACAGCCGTATCTCCATGCACAGCAGCCACCATCAGCATACATCTTCAAACTACGTGCACTTGGATCTAAGCACAAACACACCTGCAGGTTCTCTTCCCAGATTGATGTAAAAATCAGCAGCACCTTAAGCTATGCTTTTGTGATCTGTATTGGAGGGAAAAATCTAGCAATTGGAAGAGTGAATTATTAGGAAGGCATTCCTGGCATCTTACCACACATCTGACATACATGGGTTAGCAGGTGCAGACAAAATGCACATTGGTTTCCCCACCTGTATGTGGCGACTTCTATCCAGACACAAGAAATATGAAAATTAATTCAGAGGCTAAAAGCTGTGGCTGATTCAGCTGAGAGAGAGATTCACCACAGTCTGGATTTGCTTGTGCTCTAATGGCAGGCAAAAAGGAAAATTAAATATATATATATATATATTCATATATATTTCTCACAAATTATATTTTGAAAATTGTGCCAGGAACCGAAAAAAGAAGTTTTGTTTTGGGTCTCATTTCAGTTTTCTGCACTGAGCTAGAAACAATCTTATAAGCAGGAGGAGAGGAAGTTGAGATGTTCTGTTCAGAAGGGGCTGCCAAGAGATTGCTTGTGAATCCAGGCTGTCCCAGCACTGCATCACTGCATGAATTAATTAAAGAATTAATTAAAAGAAAGGTCAATATTTGGTAATAAAAACAATTTTTTAACATTTGACCTAATTCAAAAATATGTCCAACTCTCTGAAAGAACGTTAGCTTAACGAAGAGCAAAAAAAGTAGTATAGCCCAACTACATCCAGGCCTTCCAAAGAAATATTCCGTAAAGGACTGTCCGTCCTCTGATGCTTTCAGCTCTGACTGTTCTGTGCCATGCATGACAGATTGGAAATTTTCCACCAACCTGGAAAGTGAAATGATGGGAAGCACGTTTCTTTGACAGCTATCTGAGGCCGTTTGGTTAAAATAAAATAGCAACTAATTCATCCAAAATGAAATTTGTAATATCAGCCTATTCCCCCTTAGAGACTTAAACGATCGTTTTCTTTTGAAATGAAAGAATCAAGGAACTTGTTTTATAGAATGGGATTATGGCAGCATAGAACACTTTAGAATAGGAAAATTGTCATTTTGTGAAGGTTTCTTTCGTGAAGGTTCTGCAGAGATTCCAGGCAGTCTTGTTCCCTCTGCTCTCTGCTGAGCAGCACTTTCTGTGAGGGTACAAAATACCAGATCAGAGCCCAGTGCTACTTTCAGAGCAAACATTTTTAATTAATCTGAAGTCATTAATTACACCTTTCTTTAATAAAGTATCTGGAGTAACTTACTTTCTTCTAAGTTAATTGATTCAAACATGCCAGGATCGTGTTTTGCAGCAAACACATGGGAACATCCTTTACTTAAACAAACCAGGCTCCAGTGAGGAGGAATACAGTGCAGAAAAGGGCTTTGAACCAACAGGGATGAGCAAAGCAGCCTAAAACTATCTTTTTTAAGTGGTTCTTTCTTTTTTTTCTGTGGAATTGCGTTTCTCCTCTTCATTTGATGTGATGGATGGAGTGACTGTGCCAGAAAGCACTGAATGAAACTGGAAAACAACCCACCATTTCAGAAGGAAACCATTTTTTAAGCTTTTTTTTTGGCCTTTCCTCTTTCCTCAGCACAGAAATTGATGGCATGACAAGTTTTAGACATTTCTATTGGACCTAATTGTGATCCTGCTTTAAGGCAAGAAAAATATTTATGCACAGCAGATGATGCTCCCCTGAACCAAGAGATCCCCTGGGCGTTACATGCAAGAAAATAAAGGAGGTGGGGAGATGAATGGAAGATTGATTATTTTAAATGAAAACTGACAAGCGTACGAGACCGCAAAGCTAAATTCAACTCGAGAGTGACATCTAGCGATGCTCAGCACACAGCCCTCACTGCAGTGTTATCGTTATCTCCCATCAAACCCAAGCCAAGCCCGCAATGCTGAACTGCCTCGTTTCTCCTGGGTCTGCGTACATTCCTTAAGCTGGAAGTTGAAACAACGTATTTCTGTACAGAAAAAAAAAAGAACGGCTTTGTCCTGTTCACTCCGTAGCTGTGACCTGGAAACCAAGCCCAAGAAACAGGTGCTTTTGGAGAAGTTAATTACGAGCACAAGCTCCACAACTTTTCTGTACTCTTCTTCTTGTTCTTTGCATCCGTGGTGGCAGAAACCCAGGAACTGGGAGACATGTGATGTGCCAATCCATTAAAGTGAAGAGGTGACAGCTGGGCCTTCTTGGGTTTCTGTGGGATTTTCTGTCTTATTTTGTAAGAGCAAATGTTCTCTTCACATTCATCATAGTTTTGCCTTTGATAGCAGCCCACCATCACCATCAAGAAAAGAAAAAGGAAGGAGGAAAAGGAAAAAAAGAACCCATATATTTCCAAAAAAACAGATCTTCACCTGAGGTCACAGGAACAAAGGCTGCCCACACCTCCTTGTCTGACCTTAGTGACCCTACACCCCCACACACACACACTGTAATGCATTTTTAAACTGCCCGCAATTACTTTGCATCACATCCCAGGGTCACCTTTTGCCTTGTCTTGTTGATGCTGGGGCAGCTGCCAGCAACAAACCCTAAAGCAAAGCAAGTTAAAAACACTTTGGATTCCAAATTAAGAAACTTTTAGTAGACAGCTGTATGTTACTCCTCTGCGACGCAAGATGGCACCAGACACTTCCCTAAGCTCAGGATGGTAAGAAAAGTGGACTAGCAACGAAGTTTAAAACAAAAAGCCCTAAAGATGGATTTAATTGACCAGAGACGTAAGACATTATAGTCTGTACTGGCTGTGTGCAGAATGGTGGGAACGGCTGCAGCACAGGAGGGACAAGGGCTGAAGCAGCACATGCAGCTGACCATGGCTGTGCACACAGTCCTGCTGCAGGCTTTAGCTAGGGAGGTTGCAATAACCAAACATTCATTAAAGCCTACACCTCCCTCTATGCATGCAAGTATATTCTGCATGCGTGGACCCTGCTCACACAGTGATATACAGCTTATACTGCAGATCTCAGAACCCAGAGAAGGGAAATGTTCTAACCCTCTCATTTAGATCTCATTTTGGTTTTGAGGGGTGAAGGGCACCAGCACGATTGTACCCGTGGTGTTGGTTTCACAAATGGGCTCATAAGCTTTTACTAGTCCTAGTTACAGCTAAATCATAAGTACTAAGTAAAGGTTGTGCCACCCTGTTCTAGAAATTATTTACAAAGAGCAATGCAGATAAAAACATCGAAGATGAGTTTCTTTCTGCAGCCATAGGATGGTATTGAGGTCACATCTGCTGAACACCAAACGAACAGAATAGGAACGACTTGGACCAAATCAACAAGGCAAAAGTTAGGTTTAATTGGTAGTTCAAATTAAGGGATATGTTCTTGGTGAGAAAAACAGCCTCATCCAGAGCCAGAAAGAGGAAACTACCTATGGTAGTCCCCCACTGATTTCAGGAAAGTCCCATACTCTGAAATGAGAACTTATTGAAAAACCACATACACAATTTTTTATTGTGACTGCTTTCCCCCACATTTTCTTTTTCCTCTTTCTTTTTTGTCTGTCAAGGATGTTTCTTTTGTAGTCTTCAGATAGGCAGCTGCACACACAGACATGATTTTAAGCAGCCCACAGCTGGTACTTCAGCAGGCTGGGAGCAGCTGAGAACAGGTCCAGCATGCAGTGCACTCCTGGGGCACAACGACTAGTAGTAGCAGAAAAAATATATATATGATTTCCTGATCTATTTTTTTTCCCCTGTCCTTATACGTGCATTTAATCTGGATGGAAGCAATGCAGGACTCCAAGCACAGCAACAAATGAAGGCCCTCCTGCTCCATCTGCCCACAGCACCTGACATCTCCATAAAATCCTCATTGAACCCTGTCTGTACCCAAAGTCTTACGGTCACCTGCAGGGCCTGGAAGGAGAGCAGCCAGCTGCATTAGCTGGACAGACAAACGTACACACTGCTCAGCCCCAGCACAGCAGGACAAGGAGGTTTATGAACACAAAGGCTGCAATGTTTTGCAGAGAGACAACGGAAATACTCCGGGGATTCTTGGCACCAGTGAAGCTGAATGCAGCTGGCTCAATCACATCTGCTTGTCTTTCAACCTGTACATGAGAGGACAAAACCGATGCTCAGTATTATCAGTCTGAAGCACTTAAAGTCCATTGAACATGACAAAGCACCTGCAGGTGCTGCCAAGTGTTTTGCAATCAGTCTGCTTTGTCTCCTTTTGTACCTGGATGAGAAGGAAAATTGCCTATAATGTCCAAAAGTTGAGTCTGGTTAAATAAACTTGCTAACTGACTGAAATTATAAAATACTCATTTGAAAGCCACTTCACTGCAATCACTACCAGACTCCCTTCTCCTCACTAAGCACAAAGGCTGGCAGCCAGGGCTGAATGGAAACTGAGCGAGTCCACTCCAAAAAGATGCAAACACTCTCCTGTAGCAGCATCTCCAGAAAATATTACTGTGAATATGAGAGCAGCCTGTCCATTTTACACAGCAATGGACATGATCAGTAATCATCTCTCTTCAAGAGCAGTGGAATTGGACAGCTGAGCACAACAGTCCCCTCCTATCTACTTGGAGTGAAGCCTAAGGAGTCTGTGTTGTGCAAACAGCTTCTGCCAACCTTTGCAAAGACCTTGGAGTTGGTTTGAGCCTGCAGTCAGATCCACGATGCTCAAGCCGACGCTTTTTAGTGTTTAATGGCAAAGCTAATAGTGCCATTAATCCATTTTGATATATAACATTCAATTTCTGCTTTAAATTGCACCTCAGTGCAAATGGCAGCTTGATTCCTGCTGACAGATGGCATTCACAAAATCATGATGAAATGTATTTAATGACTTCTTATTGTCAGGTTCAGCTGAAAGATGGGGAAATCTGTAGCAGCCCTTTAAAACAGTGTGATGGGGCATTCCAGAGTTGATATTTACAGAGCAAAAACTGAAAATTAATGTTTGGCCAAGGCTGAAGCACTATGAAGCAAAGAAGAGAGGCATGCCTTAGAGACCCTGTTCAGTCAATCTGGATACTCCCAGCACACCTCAGCCCTTGTGCTTGGACTCCCAGGACTGGATCTGGCTGAGCATCCTCTACTCTTCTGCCTCCTTTTACAATTTATGTATTCTCCCTCCTGCATGTAACTGAACTCCTTTTAAGCAAAAGTTCTGTTCTGCTGGTTTCTTTGTGTGCTTGCTTTGTAATTAAACAAAACAAAGCAGTAGGTCTTTCTAGAAGAAAGACGTCCCTGTCAAAAACATCTGCAAGGTTCCCCTGGAAGAAAGATTCAGCTGCAAGCTCCGCTGTTTTTTTCTGTCCTTGAGTCATTTCTCCAGCTAATGGCTATTTATGGATCAAACCATGATGTTCAAAACAATGATGATCATATATGATGATTCATACATGCTTTATATTAATCATGACTCAAATCTGGTTTTGCATTTTAACTGAAGTTAAACAACTTTATTTAATTTCGAATATCTAACACAAGTAGTGCAGTCCATTGCTGTGTCCAACCAGATGGGGAAGACAGGACTCGAGTTCAAATCACAAAACATATCTGGGAATTGACTACTTGTGGGTGCCTATAACATTAGCATCCCTACACCAGCAGGTGACCCAGAGCCAAGCCCAGGAGGACTCTGTCCCAGCAGTGGTGCTTTTCATCAAAAATGGAAGCTGTGCCTCCCATCCTGCCCTCAGCTCAGAACACACAGCCTCCAACTGCCACTGCACAAGACATAATTCATTTCAAGCTCTGTCCTTAGTAATGTCCCATCCTGCTTCGCAGCAGTAGCACTGTATCTCAAAACTGCTGTCTTCAGCCTAATCCATCATTCAAGAGAGTTGGGCAGAAACAACTGAGGTTCACCACACAAAATAAAAGCAGCTGCTGTAGGCATAAATCTGTAACTGCTGTAATCTACAGAGGGAATATTTTTCCCCTGCCATGGGATTACGGGAGAGATTTTGTTGTTTTGAATTAGCTTCTTTGAAACATACTTCTGTGAATTTAGGGAGAGACTCTGACACATGGAAACAGAATTTCTTTGTCCTGTAGAATTACCTATCTAGGGAGCTCTTCCAGAGCAGGAGCCCAAGGGTGCAAAGAGCTGGAACACTGGGGGCAGCCCCAGCACTGTGCTGGCCCAGACCTATCCATCCCACAGCTCTGTGCTCAGCTGAACTGCCCATGAGTGTTACTAGAAGAATCTTTGTTTAAAAGGGCCTGGTATCAGAGCAATCCCACATAGCCATGTACTCTGAGTTAAAAAAGGGACTTCACAGTTATTCAGGGGATGACAGCAAAGCTCAAGTGCAATGAAGTCAGAGGCAGGAATACTTCAGGTCATTGGACACTTCCAGGGAAACCAGACCAACATTCAATTTCCATTCTCATCTCCCATTCTCACTGAACAATAGGTTAATAGAGGAGGAAAAAAAAGAGGCAATTGAACTTGAAGAACCCTGTCCTTGAAGATAGGACTGCCAGAGATTGTTTGAGAAGTGAATTCATCTACAAATTAACTCCCAGATAACTTGCTCAGTAAGCAGCTGGGGCTCCGACCCTCCTGGAATAACCCTTTGCTACCTATACAAAACAACATGCTTCTCAAGCTGAGGCCGGAGAGGAGAAAAAAGCCGCACAGGATCAACTAGCAAGAGCTAGAGACGCAGAGCTGCAATTTGCTTCATTTATGAGCAAATTCAGGACCGAAAATAAACCCAAACCATCAGGAGGCACCTCCGCCTCCCCCGGGACGAACGGAACGCGCACGGCGGCGGCTGCCAGCAGGGGGCGCTATGCGGGCTGCGCCGCGCTGTCACTCAGCGAGCCGCCCGCTCGGCAGTGGCCGCAGCTCCGCGCGGAGGACCGAGTAGGAGTTGGTTTTCCTCTCACACGTGTATAAAGCCCTGGGGGTGTTTTGTTGGTTTCTCGTTGCTTTACCTTTCTTGACATCGAAGTCTCGAGCTGCAGCAGACCGGCCGGCTGCACAGAGGGGGCTTTCGGCTGCAGCCGCGGAGCCGGCACCGTGCTGCTGCTGGCTTCTTTCTTCGGAAAAAGCAGCTTGATGCCCGATTTTAAGCTCACTTCCTTCCAAGGCAGAGCAGGAGCCTGGGACTGACACGAGACTCACTGTAAATGAAGATTCTTCTTTTTAAGTTTCCACTTGCAGAAGTGGCTGACAAGAACTCCTGCTTGGTTCCACTCTGTGTGCATTGCAACAACTCGGAAGGAATTATTTTTCCATTTGCTTTTTTCTTTTCCCTTCTTCCCCCCCTTTTTCTTTTCTTCTTCTTTTAACCTTTGCTCTGCCAGTTCTGTTATCTCCTGCAAACCTGGCTGACCATGAACAGCACACACTTTGCCTTTTCATTTCAGCCCATGCTGCTTAACGTCACCGAAGATGTCAATGACTCAGTTCTCAGCAACAGAAGCAGTGATGGATTTTGCGAGCAAGTCTTCATAAAAGCTGAGGTCTTCTTGGCTTTAGGGATCATCAGCCTGCTGGAAAACATCCTCGTCATTCTCGCAGTGCTGAAGAATGGAAACCTACATTCTCCCATGTACTTCTTCCTCTGTAGCTTGGCTGTGGCAGATATGTTAGTGAGCACGTCAAACGCCTTGGAGACCATCATGATCGCAATCCTGAGCAGCGGCTATTTGATCATCGACGACCACTTCATTCAGCACATGGACAATGTTTTTGACTCAATGATATGCATTTCTTTGGTAGCGTCAATTTGCAACCTCTTGGTTATAGCCATTGACAGGTACATCACTATTTTCTATGCTCTCCGTTACCACAGCATCATGACTGTGAAGAAAGCTTTAACCCTAATCGTGCTCATCTGGATCGCCTGCATCATCTGCGGCATCATATTCATTGCCTACTCAGAAAGCAAAACTGTCATTGTCTGTCTCATCACCATGTTCTTTACCATGCTCTTCCTCATGGCCTCCCTTTACGTTCACATGTTCCTGTTTGCACGCCTGCACGTGAAGCGGATCGCAGCCCTCCCTGTGGACGGGGTGCCCTCCCAGCAGACCTGCATGAAGGGCGCCGTCACCATCACCATACTGCTGGGTGTCTTCATTGTTTGCTGGGCGCCTTTCTTCCTTCACCTCATTCTCATCATTTCTTGCCCCGTGAATCCATACTGTGTCTGCTACACTTCACACTTCAATACTTATCTGGTTTTGATAATGTGCAACTCGGTAATCGACCCGCTCATTTATGCCTTCCGCAGCCTGGAGATGAGAAAGACTTTCAAAGAAATAGTATGTTGCTGCTATGGTGTGAGCGTGGGACAGTGCATGCTGTGAGCTCCTGGCTGTGTGTGGGAGCAGAGGAAGCATACAGTAGGTGTATGAATGTGTACATGGACGTAGATACATAGCAGCTTCATTGTAAAAGTGCTGCTTGAAGAAAGGGCACAGGAAAAAAGCTCCTATTTAATGCCTTGATTTACGCTTTTCAAAATGAAAGGATTCAACTAAATTATTTGAAGCTATTTAAATAGCCATAACAAAGCAAAGTCCAAAGCAGCTTGCAAAATAGATGAAAAAATGTAAAATGAGGAAAAAAAGAATCCTGAAAGTGAACATCACATGGAATAATATTCTGTCTCTCTCCTCCATCTGCACCTGTTGCTTTATCTCTGTGCCTCTATCAGAGAAGTCAGTGTTTCCTAAAAGATTCCCTTAGGAACTTCTTTGGAAAGCTACTCACCCACAATCAAATCAAAACACTGATAGTGACAGCTTTGCTCCCATGCCTCCACCTTTTAATAAAGGAACAGACTGACATTTGTGCTGCTTGCTATAAGGCAAATCAAGAAGAGTCTTAAAATGATGAAAGCAAACCATCCCCAGCACTGAACTATTCCTCCTGTAAAGTCAGCTCGGTGAGAATGAACAACTGTGTGATTTACACAGCTGATGGGTAGAAGTGAAGATGCCACAATTACTTTCCTTTCTGTGGGATAACAGTACTATATCCTCAGAAGTTTTTGAAAAAGTGGATTGCACCAATTAATGTATTTGGTATGTTGATACATCAGATGTCTCATTTTGATAATTATTATCCAGTGAGATTCATCCCTTGAGAATTTCGAAGACTGAGGATCTGAAGACAGAGCTGAATATAATGAATAGCTAAGATGCCAAATCATTTAACACAAAGCTGCATTAAATCTACACAGACTCTTCAGAAACAGCCATTTGGCTGAGTGAGGTACCTGCTAACAGGCAGATGTGGCTCTGTGCACTGATTATTGTATGTCCTGGGTCAGTCTGGTTTTACTTAGAGAGCTTTAACCTGACAGCAGTGGATGAACACTCCTGCACTGACATCAAGAAAACAGTGTTTTCTTTGCAGTCATTTTTATGTGCAAGTTGATGGCATATAAAGCACACAACTTCAGCTACAGCAGTTCAGTCTTTTCCTCTGCTTCTCGTAGGAACAAACCACATGAAAAGCCCTCGAGTAGCATCTCATAACCAAGCAAAGGCAGACGTGAGTTGTGTGTATTACAATCTACAGGCTGCATTGCTGTCATCACAGTGCCACACTAAATAAAACTCTAAGCCATGATAAAGTCTGCTTAGCAGCCTTCTGATATCTTGCTTCTAGTAAAGGCAGTCGCCTGAAACCCTCAGGAAAACAAAGTCTTTTGCTTTCGAGCAGCTAAAAGCTCTCATTTGATTTAAGTCTCTCTCTCATTTCTTCCTTTCAATGCAATTGCTATGTTATTATTCCTGGGGCTCTCATTATCAGTCCTGTAGACCAGAGCCTCCCAGTCCCTCCTGCCTCCACTTCTGCATTCACACATCATGGCCTGGCTCAGCTCCCAGCTGATGGGATTTTACTGCTGGCTCTGGAACACAGCTCTCCCTGTGTCTGCAGGAAACACTTGTCTCACTGGCTCCAAACACTGGCCTGGAATGTTTGTGCGAATGTGTTTTATTCTCAGCATCCTACAACATACATAGAAGGCATGCTAGCTTCCTAATCCGGTGGAGTGTATCACATTCACAGAGTCAAGAACCATCTCTCTGTGCTCCAACCCCATTCTGCTCATCAGCCATACCAACCTCATGTTCATCATTTCCCTTGCACTCTCATCACACCTGAAGTTCCCTTATCAAGTTCTCATCTCCTCCCATAAACCCATTCCCCAGCCTTCCACCTCCCCCCACATTCCCACTGTTCCACCATTCACCTAACTTCATGAATACACTTAAAATAAAAGAATTTGTTTAAAAACCCACACCAAGGTCCTTTGGGCACATAGCAGAACAGGCATAGATGGCATTTCTGCCATGGTTCAGGTGGTGACCAGAAAAAATCCCAATACCCAGCAGTAAGCTCAAGCTGAGTGCTCTCAGCCCATATCTGCATCTCATAAATCACAGTTGGGCAGTAGTAAAATCTGTTTTGTCAGCTCTGGTTTTTGCAACAGCAGATGCGGTACATTAAGATGAACTGAAATCAGTGTAGGATATCTCATAACAGACCTTATCTTGCTGTGCAAAACTGTACCTACTTGTAAAAATCCCTACCTGGTGTCAGTGTTATGTACCTTAATTCTACAGAGCATGGTTTGCCACGATTCCCTGCCTCAGGTTATTGTGTATTTAGCTCTTATTGTACATTATGTCTTGCTTTTCATTTTAAACACAATTCTAGATGAGACTACAATTCATACTGTGCTGCACATTTAAACAAAAAGAAATTAAAAAAAGATCTGTTGAATAAAGCAATCTGAAAACATCACTCAGAATCGTGTTTGCTTTTCCTGGAGCACCACTCCACGTCACACCACAGTCTGTGTGGTCTGGTTTACAAGAACTAGAAATAGAGTTTAACACTGGGAAGAAAAAACCACCTCATTGTGCATAGCAGCCATAGAGAAAGGGGAGACAGCAAACCCCTCCAGCACCTTTCCCACTGCTTCCAGCACCGGGCACCAAAAGGTGCAGCTCTCCCCCACAGAGGTGGATTTGGGGTTCACAAGGTGTCTGCCAATCCCCCTTCAGGAGGGCAAGAAATGGCAGAGGTAACATCCTCTTCATTTAAAGATGCTGTCAGTATGGACTTATTGATTCCATCTCTGTGCACAGAAATCAGTTTGCTCAAAGATTTGTAAAAAAACCCCTCGTGTATTCAGACAAACATCTGAATTCTCGGGAGCACCAGTAATTCATTAAGTCAACTCTGCACAGCGTGTCCTGCAAATTATAGCCAGCCTCACCTCTTTGATATAGTATTAGCACAGTGCTTGCACTTTTTCCATCAATAACTGTCTAAATATTTTAGAATTGAAAGTATTTGTCCTGGTGGATAAATAACAAAGCCCAGGCACAGAATTCTGCAGTAAGACAAGGTCACTGCTGGTCAATTGGTATAAATATCTTGTCTGACAGCCCTGTTTTTAAAAATTTATAAAAAACATTAAATGACCAGAGGCATAGCTCAAGGAAGATAGAGCAGATTCTCTAGGCCAGAGCTACAAGTGAAGCCCTTTTTGCACAGGGTAAACTCACTACCCAGAGAGCTACACAGCATCACAGCTGCATGTGTCACTGTGGTTATTAGCTGGGCTGGAAGGGAATGGGGTCACAACTCAAGCTAGACTTCAAAGGATGGATGAAAATAAGTTGCACTGGATTTTCTCCAAAGTCAGTAACACAGTTCTGATGTTTTAATTCTTCTTAGAAAACAATTTTTTAAAAATTCTTCCTACTGGCTTAATTCTTTTTCCCCAGAAGAAAAAAAGAAAAAAAAAAAAACAACAAGCATGGGAAAACTCACTACAAATCTCATTTTCATAACCACCCACTACATCTTCACAGCCACTATACATTTATTTGCAGTTTAAATCTTAAGTAAAAACTGTGCTTATCCATCACTCTCACAGGAAACACCCAGTTCAGAGTCAAGGTGCCAGCACAGGACCTTTCTGTTGGCAGCAGCTCAGATTTGAGCAAAAAGTACATTTCCATCACACACACTGATGCAGCGATATGTAAAGTAGACCTGAACTGCCATAACATGTGAAGGTTTGTATCTCACAAAGCAGGTTAGAAGTGTCTCTTAAACAGAAGCTATAACAGAATGGAACCCAACAGAATTGGTGTTTTGTGCAACACTGTATTGGTCAACAGGGCAGAATCTAAATCCAAATATATATATATACATACATACATACATATATAAATATAAAATCAGGATGACTCCTCATGACAAGGACTTTGAAGGATTAAAGCAGATTCCTATAATATTCACAGCATCCTGAAAACACTGATGACAAAAGTAGATCTACTCATTGTTTACTCAATCACATGACTTTGCTTGCACCAGAAGAGAGCACACCTCCATATTCTGCAATATAATGCCAAGAAAAGCACAGCAATAACAGCAGAACAACAAAGCTCTAGGCTACAGTAAGGGAAGATTTACTCAAATGCAACAGCCATAGAAATAAAAGAAAAAAAAAGCTGCTTACCTACAGAAGAATACAGGTCCATAAGGATCTCTAGTAAGAACCCTATGCCTTCACTGCCAACCCCTAAATGAGGGCTGGAACAGGTGGATCCTGGCTCCAGCCCTTCCATCACTCAGATGCATTGCTTACACCTGAGATCCCCTGGGTTGGCCCTGCCTTCCCACCAGGTGCTCCATCACTGCTTCAGGCCCTGACTCAGCATTGCTGGTGATCAAAGTTTACTTAATATCATCTGTTGTTTTGATATGTTGTTCGTTGTGCCACAGCTAACTGTCTGCTATAAACAGTTCTGAATTTCTGAGGGTTTTTTAACTACAAAATTTAAAACAAACTATGTGGAACGTGTATTTCCTTTCTCTGTTTATGAAAAACAAATAGAATCTGTTTGAAAGTATTTCTCTTGTGATTATGAATAAAGAAGGCATTTGTAAAGTGAAATTTATTCCAAAGAGCCTTCCACGGTTCTTCCATTTCAACTGTCTGTATAAATCATAAATAGTCAGTATTCATCTTCAAGCACTAACTGCTGCTATTTCTAGTTTGTTCTATACTCTTCTGTTGAGTCAATGTCAAAAATAAATATTCTAGGAAAAGTAAAATGTATTGAACAGTTCTCTTTCACTGTAATGGGTATAATAAGCAGCATGATACTTTCAACCCATTACTGATGTAATTACCACAATTGTGAGGATGCACTCTGGGGGTAAGCTGCAAGTGAATCATAAAGCCAGAGGCCAAGCATAATGGACTCGGGGCTGCATTCAGATATTAACTTGAATTAGATATGGGCAAATCCACATATAGCATAAGGAACAAACATTTCTTTAGCCCTGCAGCTTCTCAAAGGCACCAAGAGCTGCAGGCAAGGCCAAACCATTGCAGACCCTCAGCCTCGTGCACCTGCTGTTACACTTTCCATCCAGGCTAACTCACTCATCACAGTCCCAACTTGCACAAGCAGTTGAGCAGTAGTTTCAGCTTCTCTCTGCCTTCAAAAACTGCACTGCTGAAACAACATACCCAAAGGGGCCCTTACATGTGTGAGTGAGCAGGTAATCAAAGCAGTGAAAAGGTGCAGCTGGGACCACTGTTCTGAATGGTTGTTTCCTGTGATGAGGAAGAGCAATGAGGGTCTATTAGCACTCATTTTCTTAGGGGTTCATGTTTTACCTGAGTTTTGTACGAGTGTCAGCACACGTAGCTTAAAGCAGCCGGAGTGCATGCTGAGAAAAGCATCCAAGTGATTCAGAATAAAAGCCTTAACAGAGTGCTTCTCCTGCTGCAGCGCGTGCTCCCATCCAGGGCTTCGTTAGCTGTGGCTGCAATTAACTCCTCTGCTCCTTTTGTAATATCTTACTGCATGGTGGTGGCTGTTTCCAAAAGCTAATGACACAAGCAAGGCGGTTATTTTAGTGTCTTCCACAGTCACTGAAGACTTCTGCACGCTTCCTAGAAAATTCAAGTTAGAAGAACACTGTTTCATCAGTGACTTGCATTACAGACACGCCAGGAGCTGCTCTCCTCTTTGACTACAGAGAGAGCTGGCAGGGCCTGCTAGAATCCAGCACTGGAATGCTTTTGTCTAATTGCTGGTTTTGTTGAGGTGAGTGGTTACACTGTTCTGTGTTCTGGGAGCAAAAAAAACAAACAGGGCAGAGTTTTTGGAAATAACTTGATTTTGATCTCTACCCCAAGTAAGTAAAGTGAATCTGCATGCGACTCTGTCCTTGACATTTCCAAATTAGACATTCAATAGTGAAAAAAATTCTGAAGTTGTTTGTGGGTTTTCTGTGGGGTTTTGTGTGGTTTTGTTTTTTTTTTTTTTTCCCTGAAATAAATATGGGATGGAAAGGGTCAAGCAGAGGCAGCTCTGCCTCTTCTAGTTGTGCCATCACCTCTGAGATCACAGAAATCTGGTTCCAGAACTGCCCAAAGAGTGCAGATCCCAGAGCTCCAGCACTGCCAGCACACAGCTGTCCTAAGGTGAGTGAGCAGTTCCCATTTTCTTGGGAAGATTTGAGAATGGATATCTTTCGTGCCTATAAGCAGAGGAGAGCTATTATCTGTGAAATCCAAGCATCTGCAGTTAATTGGTGCAGACTTTGAATCATTGTTAACTGCTTTATTTCACAAAGCACCAGTGCTACTCCTGTCTTCAGCTTGTAAGAGCAGAGCAGCTCTTCTCAACACCCTTGTCATTCATGTTGTTGCAGAACACATTCTTTGGGCAGAGTAGCAGAGCATTCCTCAGAGCCTTCTATTGCTTACCTCTCCTCTGCAGGCAGTTATCTCATAGCTATGAATTAGGTGACTTCAGTCATCTTAAAATCACACAGACACGTGCCTGAAGATGAGCTCTAAATCAAGGACTCGTTATTTGAAGCTCTTGAGTGGTTTATGAGCAGTAAAGAAAGATTTGCTATCTTTTTTTTTAGATTTCCCTGTACAAAATCAGCTTAAGGAGACTTGAGAATTCAAACCTTCTGGTGAGAAAATAAAGATACGTATATTTTAGGAAGCAAGACAAACACGAAGCATGCCGTACACTTCTCCTCCTACAAAAGAGTCTCATGGGTTTGCTCATAGAACCTGACATACAAAAATCCAACAGAACATCTTACTATTGCCATGATAAAGTGCACTGTATTATATTTTTTTGTAATATGTCGTGTTTTCAATCCGGAAGGCTTATCATATAACAATGAGTTGCTTCTCTGACATACAGATGTCAGAGATGCTCAGAATGTAAAATAATATAGACCTGTTACTACATTTCCAGGTTTGCAGAGCAGTGTGGATGAGGAGGGGGAAGCTTCTTTGTTTTCCCACTTCATGACTACGCAGCTTTTTATTTCCTTTTGAGCCATGGATGTGTAATCAGTGACTGTCATCATGTGCTCCACAAAAGCTATCACAGCACCGTTATCCACCTTCACAACCCTCATTTGAGAAATCTGCAATAACAATTCCAGTAATGAAAGGCATTTGCATACTGTTAATGTAAGTCTAATGCTTACAAGCTCTGCAGAATATTAATCATCTTGATTTTCTGAGAGGTCATAGGGAAAGTAAATCAAGACATGATTTAATTTATGGTGATGAGCCACTTAAATTGCGTATGTTTGGAGAGGGGGGAGGCAAAGAGGGAAATCTGGGTAGGTTTGGAAGAAGCTTTGAAATGTCCATACAAACATTTAAAAACAACTTAGGTAAATACAATTAGTAAGACACCAAATTGAGTATCATGATCCTAAGAAGTTCTCACTGATCAAAATTGGACTGAAAGGAACAGACAAAAGAGAATGAGAACATGCACTGAAAACATTACCTTTGGAAGCATGAGTATGTTTGTGCACAAAGTGGCAGAGGCATATTTCTATGGTAAAAAGCTTTTTACTAAGGAACAGTCGCTCTCTTATGATAAATTCCTTTCTATGAGAAAGCATGGACCCTTTTCTTTCTGCTAAGCAAGCTGTTGAAACCGAGAGCAAATACAAGTGGTTGACTTGTGGGAGTAATAACAACATAAACACTGTTTCTGTAACTGATTTGTATAATTTAGCTTTATTACAGATGACCTGGCATTTGATTTAATAATTCTATCACACTGTTATTATCCAAAATGCATTCATTCTTTTGTTATTTGAAAAAATATACCTGGAAGTTATAAACCAGGTATGTCATAAATTCCATTACAAAGTCAATAGCTATGAAAATCTAAATTTTAAGTCAAAAATCAGGAGAAATGGAATGATACTGAAGGTAATTTCCATAAGGTGAGAACATGCTCTCAAGAGAAAAGTAACCATTTATCCTGTTTTTTTCTTTTTATTTTCCTTTTCCTAAATTTCTATGGGCAGCATACTTATAAACTCTTGTGAAATGGAAATCCATGCATGGAATCAGTGCACGCATCCGTTGCTAAATATTGTCATTAAAAATGAATTCACCCAGTGGAAAAACAAGTTCTCAGAGTTTCAATTCATTGCTTTCTTCTCTCATATAATACTCATTTAAACAGTTTCAGGTACGTTTCTACTACTTCTGATTATTGTGCACCAGGACTTCACATTGTAAAGACCTTTTTTGCATTAGGCCTTCTTTGCTGGGTGACAAAACAAGTGTCCTGGATGCAGCTGGAAGGCTCGTGTGCTTGCAGAGGCTGTGGTATTTGGAGAGAAGTGAAAGCACATCTGCCTGTGCCAAGGAGAAAGCACTGCATTGCGTTGTGCAGGACAGGGCTCCCAGCTGGCTCAGTGTGGCAGGAAGGGAAAAACCCCCCCAAAGCATATCTGCAAAGTCTGCTCTGTGGCTTTGGCCTCTCTGTTTAGGTATCCTTACTTCGTGTGAGTCAGAACACGTTGGATTGCATGAAAGTGAAGCCCAACATAACTGTAAAACTTCAGTCCTTAAGGTAACAGAGACCAAAGAACAACGTTACTTGGAGAGAAATAGCCGCCATACAAATCCTGCATGACAATGAGCATACAGTGGAAAACGATGCACTCTCTCTTAATGAAAAGGTAATCAAAAAGAAACTAATTATCTCAGACATGAAGGATTTTAAATATCATGTTTTGATCTCAGTGCAGCTCGTGGAGCTGAAGAGTAGTGAAAGTACTGAAAGTCCCAATGTGGGAGAGATGTTCAAAGCCAGATCAATTATCTGAAGAACAATCTGTGAGGAGGCAATCAGTTTTACTCAACATTTTTGGTTTGCTTTAGGAATGCAGTCCAGAGGATGAGGCTTTCTTTTCCTTCTTTTTGGCTTGCAGACCAGAAGAACTCTTAATTGGTACCGTGGGAAGAAGAATCCTTTGAGTACTTCCCTGCTGTCCGCTCCTAAACAAACAGAATTTCTCACTTAAGCACTAAGACGTATCAGCCTTAGGTTTCCATCTTTGAAAGCTCTATAAGGCTCAGGGAAAGATGGGGAGGGCAAAAATCTGAATTAATGTGAAATAGTGAAAGTAGCAGAGCTGGCAGGGAGGATATTTTGCTCAGGAGTTGTATTTTCCAAATTCAAACAGCCCAGAGACACTCAGGGAAAAGCATTTCCTAGGATAGCTGTGTGACAGCTGTGTGGTTTGTTTTCTTAAATGCAGTCCCTGTGGTAGTTCTCCTTAATTAAAAATTATTCCAATACAGTGAAGTAATACTTTACTTCTAATGTGACAATTACTCCCAATTTGCCATATAATTGCTCATCAGGAAAGGCAAACAGTTCCCAAGGCATCTACACAAATATTGCTATTTAGAAAATTACTTCACTAATATCCCACTCACTGTTTTGTCTTTCTGGAATCTGGTAAGGGCTCGTGTCTCCAAAGGTTACTGCATTTCTCTTCCTGAAGAGATGGGTACATTGAGAGAGCTCTGTCAACAGCCAGTGGAATCTTCTCATGATCAAAACCACCACTTCAAAGAACAGTGAGCTATCAGATTTCTGAATAAAGGAGGAGATGGAACTGACAGAACTAAGAATGCAGCTTCCTCATTTATACAGCAGTGTCTATTGGACCATTAATCCATCTGCATAATTAGCGAGCATGTGTTTAAAAATAAAAAGTCATTTCTTCAGCAGGGGGATGGAATTTGAGCAAGTCTTATCTTCGTGAGTCTCTGTCATTACAAAACAGGTCGTTTTTCTGAAAAATATTGTTTAGCACTGTTATATGATTAGGGTAATATTGCAGTAAGGTCACTTTCAGAAATGTGAACCCACAGCCTCTTTCTCTCAGTCCTGATGAAGCCAGACCTGCATTAGGTGGACATTCCCAGTGTTTCAGCAGCTGAAATCAGCTGTAAGAAAAAAGGAAATACTTTGGTAGGAACTTTCCTGCCATCATGAGTTTACATACATGTGTGCATTCACACACACAGGTGTACAGGGCCATACATTTGTCTTCCTTATGAAGACGTAGTTTGAACCACTCCATAACAATTCATAGGAAAGCAGTCAGGTTTGTTCTTTGCATGTATGAAAGTGGAACTTGTTTGTGTTACTTTAGCAAGAATTCAAACATCCTCTGTTCTTCTGCCTGACATCTGTCTAGTTTGAATCAAAACATGAAAAATGAATGAGATCCATGGATTTACAATGGTCATTTTATGACAAGGTGGAACCAGGCAAACTACAGTGTACTTAGATTAACACTGCCTGGCTTTTCTGTGAAGCTCAAATTTCAGCTGTTCTTTTCAGGAGCCTCTGTTAATCCAACTACTGATTCAAATTTTATCATCTTATTTTGTGGAGCTACAAAATACAACTGTTCTAGCAGAGAGATCAGAATACCGAAGCAATTCCTCCTTTGATTTTTTTCCACTTGAGTTCCTCTGTGTATTTAAAGGCATGCAGGGGCAAAATTTCTTCAGGTTGCTGGGAACAATGAGTCCTGAAATCATTGAGTAAGTTGACCACGAGCAACACCAAAGTGGCCCTGCTGAGCATCCCTGGGCAGTTTGATTGCAAACCTAACCCAGCAGGTCAGCAGTTCTGATGAGCTCAAAGTCTTATTTTGTAATAGCAAAAAGAGTGAAAGGCCTTTCAAGCAGCTTGGCACAGCTTCACAGCAGAGCACAAACCTGCAGTTTGAGCTCCCAGTGCTGCTTGTGTAAGCCTGGCAAGGACGACAGCTTTCAGTATACACTGCATCTTTTGGTTTGCATGGTTTCCCAAAGCTCAGCCACGTGCAGCCACCACAGCACAGCACAGCGATGCCACAAGCAGCACAAGCAGGGCCAGAGGCACTCAGCAAAAGCATCACCTTGCAGAAGGGCTGTGTTCAAGCAGGTCTGATCAGGCAGACTGCCTTCTCCACCTGGCCAGGAGAGCTGGGAGACAAAACCACTGTGCTAGTGTTTCCCTGTCATTCATGCTGATAAAGTCTGGAAGCAAATCAGCATTAGGAAGCAAAACAACATATAATTGCCATAGACGTGTACTGTGAAACAGCCAATTTGGCTGCAATTCAAATGAAAAATTACTATTACTTTGCCTTCATTTGCTATCTTCTGTATCAGAGCTTGTTATTAGTCATATTTCTGGTGCACAGTCCAGGAATAATGCAGTTTAATACTCAGCAGGAAATGGGTATGTTGACATAATAACAGAAGTGTGTATAGTTTGGTTGAATAATTACTTCTTTCCAAGGCAGGAAGGCTATGGAGCCATCCTGAATCTAGATGTGACAAAAAGCTCAGGTTTTGACAAAATCTACCACCAGAGAGTAACTTGAGTGAATAGGATAATAATCATTGGATACCACCACTAAATGACAATTAGAGAAGTTTCTTATTACAAAAAAATACAGATCAAATACCTCTTACAGACAAGCACATGAAAATTTAGGGTTTCTTGGCACCATACTGTGAAATACTGACAGGGCTTTTTCGTATGCTGTGTGAGTAGAATGTAGTTCCCATTACTACAGTGGCTAGCTTCAGGCCTTCACATAACTCCCAGTAACGGTAAAAAAAAATACTGGAGAACATCACTCAATCCCAAAAGAAATAATTATTAATAGAAGTGAAAATCCTACCCATTAAAAACCCTCTCCTGAAAAGCTGTTGTGCTCAGAGCTCCTGTAGCTCGCTGCCAATGGCCTCTCCATCCCACTGCAAAAAATCTTCTTGCTCTTCAACAACACCTTTCTGAAAATTCATTCAGAAACAAACAGAACTGTCTGCAGCTGATTGCCAAATACCTTAGGAGAGATGTCCATGAGGAATGGATGAGAGCAAAGACGTTTTTGACGCAGCAGGATTTTTTATACTCATCAGTAATTCCTTTCTGCACAACATTTATTGTGTTGGTAGATATCAGCTGTACCTTTCCCATACTTTCTTCATGAAGCATAGATCTGTGTGTTGTTTTGTGCTCCAGCTGCTTCCATTTATAATACGCTGCCATAATTCCAGGTTCGTGCTTCTAATCCTAATGTTCTTGTTAGAAAAGGTGTTACTTTTTGACAACAGATGATCATCTTCTCTCCGGGACACTCCTGCAAAGCAAAGAAAAAGCAAACACGCTGCGAGGCTCACAGTGTTGTTTCTGAACAGCAGAAGGAGGTCATCCAAACTCACTCCAGTTTTCACACGCTGTGCCACCCTGCTAACAGGCTCCTCTCAGAGATGCTGCCACATAAGGTATGCTATGATGCACTTGAAATGTTTTGTTTTGTTACGTTTTTCTCCAGATAACTAAAAGAAGAAAGACAAGGAAGATAACTGCCATGTCTATAGATGAAAACAGCTTTCCTACACTGTCTCCCAAACTGCATGACATTTCATTAATAAGGAGGAGCAGGAGGACTTCGTGATTACTGCTATCAAACAGCAACATCTGAGAGCAGTGCAGAACGGGGAGCCCAGCAGTAACACCAAGTGCATGTGCAGGATGCACTTCAGGACAATTGTAATATGAAAGAGAAAGGCCCATGTAATAAACGGTCAATATATCATGCTGAAAGTACTGCAAGAGATCAGTTTAAGACCAGTACATTTTGATTATTCCATTTTCCCAGAGTTCCAGGTAGTTCACATCATTGTGGTGAAAGAAGACTCTTTATGGCACCTTCAAGCTAAACATTTCATCAGTAACTACAAAAAAACTACAGATGGGGAAATATCTGCAGCCATTTAGTTCTGTTGCACAACTTTTTGGCTTTGCTTGCACCAACAGAGGCCTTCCTCAGGAGGAAGCAGCTTTGTGTCCCTGTCCCTTCGTGGATCCCTTCCTTTGAGGAGGAGCCCTTATTCCCTCCCAGTGATAAAACCCTCCACCACCAAGTGATACTCTCCCAAGCAGTATTTCAAGGCATGCTACTTAAAAAGTTAGCCATGAAAACTGAGTTATTTCTGTTATTTTTCTCCGTCTTTTTACTCACTGATCTGCAGAGTGCTTCTATAGCTTTCCAAGGTCTTTCAGAATCACTAAAGAATTCTAAGGAAAAAAAAAATAACCTCTTTTTCTATTTTGTAGCATTCAAAGATAAACATTTTTTCATGTGAAAGTCAAGTGGTAGGCCTTCCTGATATCTTGTAGGTGAATGGAAATGTCCCAGACAATAACATTTTTGTTTCCTGTACATGTGACGTAAGAGATGTTATGGCAGGCTGCAATCTCAGCCACTTCCAGTAACCATTTAATGCTTTAATTTTTTCCATTATATGTAATTTGGGACTCCTGGGCAGAGAAGTAAGGAGTGTACAGACAACCAACATAGCTAAAAGCTTTGCAATTAGCCGAGTGTGTAGTTCAGTGCAATTGGCATTAGAATGAGTTTGGATTTATAGTTTTTTAAGTCAGCTCTTGAAACAGCATGTAGCAGTTTCCTTTTACAATAGTTTAAGCCTTACAACCATCTCCAGATTCCCATTGCAATGGGGAAGCTCTGAAGCAGACTTCTTGCCACCAGTATCATTGCAGTGATTGTTGCCCTGATGTTGTCAAGAAATATGGGGAGAAAAATAGGGATTTTGATTTTCTGTCTTTATTTGAAACCAAGATCATATTGAGACCCTTTCTCTCCCTGAAATCCCCATCCCTGTGGATGACAAAGCTTTACTGGAGAAGTGATGCAAAGAAGTGGTGACATGTTAATCTTCTGACCCACTATTCTGTGCCACATACATACCTAAAAGTCTTAAGAAAAGAGATTCATATATGTCAAGATGGAACATATGCGCACATCTTCTGGGCATCCCTGTGTGAGGTTCCCTTGATGTGCTTTGATTCTGGGCACCTCACAGCACCCACGTACATTTGTATAAGCAATCAAATTGATCATTTTGCTGCAATTAATGCTCTGCTTTCATGTGCTGTCCCCCAGCTGCCACAGCCTTCTCCTTTCAACCTTTTTCCCCACAGAGCATCCTTAATTTAATTACTCTGCATTGTATACAGACTGCAAAGGGATGGGGAAATAGAAGTAGCACACAGCTTGCATCCAAGCAGAGTGGGAGCCAGAAACAAAGACTGGCTGGAGAACAGTGCAACCCCCATGCTATAGGCACAGGTCTTCCTGTGGGAAAAGAAAGCCTCCAAGCACAGAGCACCTGGCTGTAATCAGCCTCTGACAGTGCTGGGAGCAGGACTGGGCTCAAGATACCCAACCACAACCAAAAGGCTCATTGCTTATCTGAAGGGCTTTGTTTCATTTTGTTTTCACATAGAGGAAACGCAGTCATTAATCTGTTTATTGGTTCATTTAACCTGTGATTGCTGCTGGTAGCCAGCCTTTAAGGCAGCAGTGAATGTTGAACAAAGAAGTTAATTGCTGAACACATTTTCCCTCTGTTTTTCCTATCAGTTGTGCAAAATTCAGAGGGACAATGAGGAAAGGCACTTCAGGGCAGCCATCCCACCTCCTGCCTTCCTTGTGGGTGCTCTGGACATCGCAGACAGAAAGAATCTTTGGCAAAGCTCAGAGGCAACAAATGTTTGAGGCATTTTGTTGGTGCTACAAAGTAT